TCTCTCCCTCTTTCCTTCCCCCTCTGCCCCTCTCCTCTCTCCCTCTGCCTCTTCCTCCCTCCCTCTCTCCTTCCTTACCCCCATGCTCATTCACCCTTCCTGAGCTCACTCCCACCCCAGCCCAGCCTGAGTGGTACTTAGGAATTAACGGCCTCACTGGGAAGCAGACACTCTTGAGTCCCAGCTCCCTGCTGCTCGTGAAACGGCTCCAACAGGACACTTTGTCCATTTCTACCAAAGACATACTGTTTGGAACCTGGAAGGTGCCCTGGGGATGCCTGTGGGGTAGAAGCAGGGCTGGTTTTCAGCAGTGAAGTTGCCTCTGTATCCCAGCTCCCTTTAGCCAACCATCCTTTTGTGAGTTGGAGTGGTACACAGGCAGCCTGGGGAAGGGCCGAGAGCAGGCATGTTGCTCTGGGAGTCATCCCCAGCTCTGTCACCTGCCTGCTCTGTATCCTCAGGCTTGGTGCTCACCCTCTCTGAGCTCCCTGATCAAGGCTCTGTGATATAAGGTTGATACGCCAATGTAAATGTCTCCAGTGCTATGGTCCAGATACTGTTCTAAGCAGTATCCCGCTATTCTTCACGTCACGGCAGTGGCGAGTATGAGTGAGTCAGTCTCCTCACTCCCACTTTCCAGATGGGAAGACCAAGGCACAAGGGCTGTGATACAGGGGAGGTGGAGCTGAGCTCATGCCGACTCAGGGCTGGAGCTGTAACGTTCTCTTCCATCACTCGGCATCAGTGTCCAGTGTAAGGGACAGTGGCCGGCGCAGCACACTCCATCCACAGAAGCCTAGGCTACTTGACTTCAGCCCTTGACTGAAGCTAACCCTCACCCCAACCTTGACCTTTCCCAGCCACCTAGAACAGGAGCCGAGTACCCTGTTGCATGTCCCCTCACCCCAATCCACCCCTTTCTAGTGGAGTGACTCTGCCAGAACCTGGCCCCTGCCCCATCCAAGGCTTTTACGGGGCTGCCTATATACTAGGTGCCCAAGCACCAAGCTGTCTTTGGCTTTCAGGAACATGGGATCAACCAAGGTCCCTGAAGCAGTTGTGCCATGATCTGGGTGGCTTTGGGATTGACCTGGCTGGAGAAATGAGGAATTACATATGGGATGGGGTGGACCCTGCACCCTGATGATCGGAGACGCACCATCAGCTCAGAAACCGAGGAGGCGGGCTAGCTAATCTGGGTAGGGTGTCTGTGTAGGGGCTCCATCAAAGGCTACAGTTACCCAGGGGGAGGAAGCTGTGCTTGGTCATTTCTGTGCATACTGCTTTTTAGCTAAAGGTTAGCCATTCATCAACATCTGTCCATCCAGGGGAGGCCTTGCCGTTCTCCTGAGTCAGACCTGGGGAAAGAAATCCTCTCTGTCTCCATGAGTCTGAAGTATTTTGATCCCTGATGTGGCTAATGCTCATGTCATGAATGCTGGAAGGGAGGGCACAGTGAAACCACCAAAACTGAACTGCTCCGTGGGTGAAAAATAAAAATTTGTCTAAAACACCACGGCTATCTCTGGGGTGCAGGCAGAAGGAAACTTGGCAGGTCAGCTTTGGGATGTACCATAGGTACGTGTTGATAGAGACTGGTAGAGCTTGAAGATTAGCATTGGCTTTGGCGTGTAACTACAGGTCTATGTCCCCTTCGGCAGAGGCAAGGAGAGATAAGGGAAGTGGTTCCCTTTGGCAGACGGAAATCCTTTCCCTGGGTTCCTGAAGAACGCTGTGTGGGAGCTCCCATCTAGTCCCCTGCAATCCTTTGGTTTATCCTCCAGCTAAAGTCCTTACCGTCATCCTGGTCCTAGGCCTGCCCTTTGGTGGGGGGAGTTTGGGTGTTCCTTTTGGACCTGACAAATACTCACTCACACTGAGTGCGCTGGTTCCTCACACAGCTGGGTCTCACTCACTAGCCATGCTGTGTTGTTACTTGTTTTTGTGATGCTGGGGGTTGAACCGGGCCCTTGCACATGCCAGGAAAGCATCGCACCAGCTGAGCTACATCCCCAGCTCTCTTTGTACCTTTTGAGATACAGTCTCACTAAGTTTCCCAGGCCGACCTGGAACTCACCCTAACCAGGTGGGCTTTGAACTTTCTGTCCTTCTGCCTCAGTTTCCTGAGTAGCTGGTGTGTGGGGGGGGTAACAGACATGTGCTTGCAAACCTAGTCTCCATAATTTTGCATGTATAGTCTGTGTGTACACGTGTGTAACGGGTGTTCATGTGTGTGGAGGCCAAGATCAATCCATGTAAGGTGTCCGTCTCAATTTCTTCCCACCTTACTTTTGAGACAGGGTCGTATTGAATCTGAAGCACATGGTTTTGGAAAGGATGGCTGACCAGCCAATGAATTCCCGGGATCCCCTTGTCTCCCCTGGCCCCCAGCACTATGTTTATAGACATGTGCCTACGCACCCAGTTTTTAAGGGGGTGCTGGGGATCCGAACTCAGGTCTTTATGATATGTGTCAGGTCCTTTATTAACTGAGCTGTTTCCCCAGGCCCGTCTAAGATGTTTTAATCCTAAAGACAGATAATACTCATGGGCCCCCAAATGTACTGGAGACCCCCAGAATAGAGAAACTGCTAGCCTTTTCTCAGACCCACAGGCAGGGGCACCTTCCAGGTACATCTAGAGCTGGCTAGAGGTGGGTTCTGGGCAGGTTTTCTGTTCAAAGCTCTTCAGCTCCAGGTTTCCGGCAGGGACAGCGAGTAGGCCCAACTCACAGCAAGCAGTAAGCTAGCCTGTGGTAGCCAGGAGTGCTGTGGGCTATCCTGGGTCCCCTGGCTCTGCCCAGGAACACTAGCACTGTAGGGCACCGAGAGCCGATCCATTCTCTCTCTCTCTCTCTCTCTCTCTCTCTCTCTCTCTCTCTCTCTCTCTCTCTCTCTCTCTCTCTTTGCAAGACAGGGCCTCGTGTAGCCCAGGCTGTCCTCAAACTCACTATGTAGGCCAGGGTAGCCTTGAACTTCTGCTCCTCCCGGGCTTCCAGATGTGCCCTCATCTGGCTTTTCTCGATTTACTAGTTTGTAGTGTGACATGACTGCTTCTACAGTGTGAAGCCATTGTCCTGTATCTTCCCACATCTGCCAATCACCCAGAACACTGGTTCTGAAGGAGATGATTTCGCGCATACACATCCCTCCCCTGCCAGCGACATTTCTGCTTGTCACTGTGGCTTGAGCAGGGCTGCCCCTAGCAGCGTGTAAACAAAGGCTGGGCATGCTGTTCAATAGCCTCCTCCCCTATCCTATTATGTAGATGTAATTCTAGAGGGTCTCATTAAATAAGAAACATGGAGCCAAATAAAGAGTTAAAAGCCCAGAGATCGAGCAGTAGCCAAGAGCTAAGACCACCTTATCTTGCCTCTCACTGCTGTCCTTCTCCTGAGAGAGGAGAGATCTTCTTCCTGTGTCCTGTCTTCTTATTGACTTTCTGTTCTGCCTTCTCATTGGTTCTAAACCCAACCACATGACTTCCTCATCACTGCCTGTCTATACAGACCTCCGGGTCTCTATGGTTGGTACTGGGATTAAAGGGGTGTGTCTCCATGCTGGCTGTGTCCTTGAACACACAGAGACTCTGCCTGCCATGTGATCGGGATTAAGGGCGTGTGCTACCACTGCCAGACTTCTGCTAAATGACTTGCTATTAGCTCTGACCCCCAGGCAACTTTATTTACTAACATACAAATGAAATCGCATTTCAGCACAAATAAAATATCACCATACTATTACACAGCACAGACAGTGGGTGGGTGTGGGCGCTGGCCTCAACTGCCTATAGAGTTTTAGTGGAGAAACCCGGGTCTGTGGAGACTCTTACACATCAGAAACAAGGAACCAGGAAGGGCAGTGACCCGACTAAAGACACAAGCAGGTGAGCTGCACGTCAACCATCGGGTTCGGGGCTCCTTGCTGGCAGCTTAGCGTCGTTCTGCTTCTGGGGATCTAAGATCGACTCGTGTTGATCGCTGGCTTTCGCCAGTTACCACAAAGGAGGAAGGAGGTAGTCTGTGGTCAGGCAGTGGTGTCACTGGGACCTGCCTTCCATTGGCATTGCTGGGGCCACGGTGGACTGCTGGGGTTCTGCTGCCTGGCAGGTCCCTAAGGCGCTCAGCCAGGTCGGGGAAGCAACTCCACTCTGCTGCGGATCCAGGATAGCAGGGTGAGCCAGGGGCAGAGTGACCCGTGAGCCTGGGAGGAGGGAAGGGGAGAGTGTGGCCACTTCTGAAGATGGCAGGAAGGTACTTGGTCCTCTGGGCGGCAAGGGTCCTCTCCAGTCCCCCAGTTACAGCCACCTCTGCTGGTCGCCCGCAGTGAGTGGACAGATACAGGAAGCAGTGGAGGGTTGAGTGAGTAGAAGAGAGAGAGAGAGAGAGAGAGAGAGAGAGAGAGAGAGAGAGAGAGAGAGAGAGAGAGAGAGAGAGAGAGAAAGCAACAGGCTCCCAGAAGTCTGCCAGGGTTGAGGCAGACTTCCCAAACTGATCAGCGAAGGGGCACCAGGGGGAGGGTTGCCAGGAGCCCACTCCAGGCACTTTGATCCTGTGCCTCTGCCGTGGGTCCCAGTTCTCTGAATCAGACTCATCTGGGAAATGCTAGGACATAAGACCTGTACAGAAAGGAGCACATGGATGGGGGCGTGGGGGTGGGCAGCTGTGGGCTTCCTTTGGCATCTGAGTGCCAGGTAGCCAGATAATGGGACAAGTCCTCACTTCATGCTTCTCTGAGTGACAGCACAAGCCCAGAGATGCCCTCTGGTGTCCCCAGGAGAAGCGAGTGGTGGAGCAGCGTTAGCCAGGCAGTAGTCTCTGTCCCTATGATGCAGGTCAAGGTGCTGGTTCTCTACAGAGAAAGCCGAAGGCAGGCAGAGCTGTCTTGAAACCCCAGCCAGGGACAGACACTTTATTTTGCTTCCAGATACCTCTTTCCAGCCAAATGAAAGGATGGTGATGCGCTGTGTGCCAGGATGTGGGAGAGAGGCCAAGGGGGAGGCTGATAAGTCCATGTAGGACATGAGGCTGAGCGCTCTAACAGTTGCCCATCCTCCCAGTGGGCTGGCTGCCAGATGCCTGGCTCAAGCTTGCTCATCCAACTGTGTGACAAGCAGGTGCTCTGAAGCCAGGCTCTGCCACTACCCCCTGTGTGGGGATCCCAGTATTCAGATGGTGCTGAGCAAACCACCCCCAAAATGGCCTAAACTCTTGTAGCACTGGTCGTACTTGTGCGCCTGACAGTTAGGGGCAGTGTGGCAGGGCCAGTGGGAGGAGCTATGTGTAAGTTTACCTGTCTGCTGTACTAGATTTTCTCAGTACGACCCTTCTCCAGAGTTTCCCCAGCCAGGGGGATTCCATTCCTCCTTCTTTGTTTGCTTAGGGTCCCAGGTAGCTCAGGCTAACTTTGATCTTGCTATGAATTGATCCTCTTGCCTCTACCTCCCAAATTCTGGTATTACAGGTGTGGGATAGAACCTAGGTTCTCCCATGCTAGGCCAACACGCTACCAGTTGACCCACAACACTTTGGGAAAATTATTTCACTCCTCTGTATTTCCTGTTTTCTTTTGTAGAATTCTGGTGAGCCTGGGCCTCCTTCCTAACCGAGCTAGTTTTTGTAGCTGCTGAACAGAGCCAGCAACTTCAGGCTTTAAGACAATATGAGTTTATTATCTTAATGTTCTTCATTTCAGAAGTCCAACCTAGTGTTGGTTAAGCGGCAGCCATGACGACAGAGGAGAGTGCTGGATGTATCAGTGACGGAAGAGTCACGAGCCATGGTTATCTTTCTAGAGCTTTATTGGGAGAGAAAGGGAGAGGGAGAGGGAGAGAGAGAGAAAGAGAGAGAGAGAGAGA